GGTAAATGTGAGGTCAGAAATCAATGACATAAAATCACTTGCCTAATGTCAGTGGACATCTTTCTAATCAACAGATGCAGCCATGGGCTATAATGCACATTCACCACCTGTAACTCTAGTATGGATATATAGTATTAAATTATAACATACAATCTGGGCCTGTGTGTTAAGTTATATAGAAGTTTTGAAGTTTTGAAGATAAATTGCCTACAATATTAGTAATACTTTGCCTTAGAGACCCATATTTTGACATTTTTAACACTTTACAATTAAAAACATATTCAAGGCTTTTGAAGGGCTTTGAATATAGAGATTATAAACTTGAGATGTCCTCTTTTGTTTAGAAATTGATTTCATCTTCAGTCATCCATTAAAAAAAAAAATGTTTACTCATCTGTCTTTTGAAATAACTGGAAAATAAAAGCAACAAAGTGTTGCCCTTTGGCTATTAAGACCAACATTTTTTTCTTATTTCAATATCTGTTTTATTTTGCGACGTGACATTTAGACCTACAACGTCTGTGTACAGCAGCTAACTTAATATCAATTTTCTATACACTTTTGGCAGCATGAGGTCTACAATCATTGTAAAGCAACTTCTGCCAAGAAAACACTGAGCCAACAATAGACTGTCCTGTAGCCAGGGGATTTAATATATATTCACCACCCAGCCTACACATCTGTTACAAATACACAGTATAAGCGCAGCACATACACTTTGGACCTTTTCCAAGAGTTCATTCTGTGTGTTGCATGTCCCTTTTCAATTAACATTTATGATTTCCTTTTCTTATGGTTGGTTCATGAATATCAAAATTGTATTCAAATTAATGTGAATATAATGTGGGAATTGGCATATTTTAAAAAACAGAAGTACAGAACTCGAACTTCAGTTCTAATTCGTTAAGCATACATTCCCTAGATCATACAAATTACTAGAGACAGCCAAGTGGAGAAATCGAGAACGCCGCCGCACACACACACCCACACACACACACACACACACACACACACACACACACACACACCACACACACACACACACACACACACAACACACACACACACACACACACACACAGGTTTAATTACATGCTGTTGAGCAACTGTTTCTTTAATGCATTCCACATTTATTGATTTGAAAGGTCTCTGACACTGAATTACGCTATAGATTTTGGCATTTCAAACACACGCATAGGCGCACCCAAATATCCATACTAATTGACTTTTTAGCATTCAGAAGGACTCTATTAGCAATTTATACTAGTAAGCAAGTTCAGGATGTAGAAGTCCTGCTGAAGGAATGAACAGCAGGGCAGAGTGTGCTATTACTCTCCCACACATGTTGACTCACCCTTGCATGTTGAACAAAATAATACAAGCCAACTCCGCTTCAAAATGCTGAGCGCAATTGTTTGGAGAGGTAAGAATTCCAAGAAGGAAATTATTAAGTAAAAAAATGAATGCACTGAGCTTTGATATCATCTTAATCACAGACTGCATCAACAAAACCAAATCTTAAACATGGCCTCAATGTCCTTGAGCAAGACACAAATGTCTGGGCTCACTACAGATTTAACCTAACCCAATGCAAAAGTCTTGCTTCAGGGATAATCAATATTGCAGTTTATATATATATGCGTAACATATACACTCCATATGTTTATCTGCTAGCATTCTCTCAGCGTAACCCTCCACACACACACTCTCCCACAAGCTGCTTGGGCATCCATCCGCCTGACAGCCCCCATGCACATACACAAACACACAAACAACTCCTTATCCCACACACTTGGCATGGATGCCAACTAAGCCCCAGTTCTCCAGAAGTAATAAACCGTCTTTTCACTGCGTCTCTCCAAACCATGATAGAAGACCGCCGAAAGCCCCTGTGCTTCCATTTTAAACCCCTCAACTCATTTACTAGGACACTGATTGTTACTTCTGTGACCGTCTGTCAATGTGTTGGTTGTACATAATGTCCCACATGCCACAGCCATGGGGAACAATTTGTTTTACACACAAATATGTACACATACACACACATCAGTAAAATGAGACAGAATATACAATATTGACTACAAAGTGTTTTTAACATAAACAGGACACAGAACAGGACACAACAAAACTACATTTTGTAAGTTAAGCTAAGAAACCAGCTAGTCTAGAACAAATTCCAAATCCCCCAAAAAAGTCTCGAAGGAAAAGGGAGACAGATTTGTTTGTTTCACCACACTTTCAACACTGGTATGTTTCATCTGCAGCAAGAAATGACTAGAGCATATAGGTTGAAATATGTTTTGCGGTTTGTTTTTTGGCCAAAAAATTTCATTAAGTCTACAGATAACTAAAATCAGAAGAGATTACACCTTTGTTTTATGCATGGTGTCAGCTAGTGTTTCCCCTCAGCTTTTATTGGCACAAAAGCAGTATGCTCAGATCAATCAGCTTTTTCTAGAGGCTGAAGGAACTCAACAAAGATATGGTGAACTGAAAATGTGGCTAATTTGACTATTGTTTATCTTTTTAGACTGACCTTTTCAAACTTGCTCATCAACCATCAACATTCTGCTGGTAAACATGAACTTTTACCCTCCTCAGACAAGGGACCTGAGATCTAATTTCAAGATTGAGATCAAAGAATTTAAGGTATTAAAATGAAAAAAGAATTACTGAAAAGACCTTTTTAGGACAACCACATATGACGCCCCAGCCTGTGCAAATGTGTGTGTGAATTATGTGTGTGTGTGTTTGTGGTACCAGGAGGTGCAGGCATAACGGCCAGCGTGTGACTGAGCGCGAGGCAGCCCGTGTGCCTGCCTCCTCCTTTCATTTTTTTCTCTTTGTCGATCAGATGAAGAGAAGCCAAAGAAAAATGACGGCATAAAAAAAGAAAGACTTAAGTGGGCATTTGGATTCTCTCTGATCCCATACCCCCTCATCTTGTGTCTCCATCATGCCAGTGGCAAGTGATGAAAGGCGAAAAACTTTTTCATTCCTCCCGTGTGTGCGCGCATCTGTGTGTGTGTGCGTGTGTGTCCCTCCCAGTGAATAGAGCATTAATTGCATTAGCATTACAGCTGGGTGATTTCCAGTCAAAGAAAAACTCTGGTATCAACAAGGAAGGGATTTTCAAAGTGTGTTGTTATTTTGTGCATTTCAATTGAAAAATTATTTGCGTAAAATTGCAAGACACAAAGAGTGAAAGAGAAAACGAGCATGAGGAGACGGCTGAAGCAGAAAGACAGGAAGATTGCACTGATCAAGTTGGCCAAGTGAAATTGTTCACCCTTGAAACTGTAATATTGCCTTATGATAAGTTACTCCATTCTGATGATTCAGACATCCAAAACGTAAAATGACAGATGATAAATTGCTCCTTTTTGCATTTAACTTAAAATGCAAATCATCTATAAGAGGCAACCACCTAAAAAGCCTACAATTTCCCCATTCATTGTCCTTTTGCAGCTCCGAGGTAATGGAGGCAGGCAGGTTGTTGAAGTCTCCGTATGTACACAACTCATGGAACTGATTGCTCTATTTGCTCTGGTTTTTTTTTTAGTCGAACAGCCAGAGCGTGGCAGAATATCTAGCTCTAATAGTGCTAGGGAGCATCTGTACTAGATACATCCGCAATTAATCTTTCTTAAAGGGCTTTGGCATTTGTGTGCTTAAAACAAGTATAAAAGCATATTACGGCCAATATAGCTGGCATATGCGATCTCTGTACATTCCATAGTATCGACTAACAAACCGATCATTTCTGCCTCTAAGATAATGCAGAACTGAAAAAAAAAAAATCATTTCTGGTGTAGGGGTCATTTGTGATGTAATGTATAGTTGCAATGCTTATGAAATTGCAAGCAGCTGTAGAATTTAAGAGTCAAGTCAGAAAATTCAAAGCCTACCAAAATTGCTCTTAATCAATATGGATTTAGATTCAAAGTTTCAGTGTGTAACATTTAG